GGTTTCCAAATCCTGTCTTTGTCTCATTGTGTTGAAGGAGCTATTGTCCTAGAGATCTTCAGTAGAGAACAAGTCTCCATTCTTATCTCTTTTATCATACCAAAAGACCCCCTCCTGTCAATCATCTGTTGGCTGATTAAGGATGATTCAAGTGTTGGGGGATGAGCGGGCTCTCCTGTGATTGGGATGGGAACATCTGCACAAATCACCACGATCAAATCATTCAGATGAAACTCAACAGCCCACTGCATTTGGTGATGATTTAATCAAGCTGAGATAACGTGTTTATCTTCAAAGCCTGTTAGAGAAGACCTCGTCTTACCAACTTACATGTTACATAACCACATTACATAATAATTGAGCAGCATTCTGTTCACTTCTGTTTTTCTCATTAGGTTCACTTACACATATCACCATTCATTTCAATAAAGTAACAATACCAAGAATGAGTATTTATAAACAGACCCACTAAATAAGTACATTTGTATTTCTCAGCATTTACTTATTAAATATACAGTGCTATTTTAGTATTATATATACTATTATAGTTTTCATTTTTTAATATATATTTTTAATTTTCAGTTTTCATTTAAATTTTTTGTTTTTTATTACATTTTATTACATGCTTTTGTCATTTTTATTCGTTTCTGTTCTTTGAAATATTATCGGTTTCATTTATTTTGATATTAGTTTTAGTTATAGTTCAGTTTTAGTTTTTATAGGAATTCGAGTTCAACTTCAACTTATTTCAGTTTAACATTTCAAATTTTTCCCTATATTTTTCTTACTTTTTCATATTTTACTTTATTTCATTTCAGCTTTATTTCAATTAAAGTTTGTATATAATATTTTATTAAATTATTATTGAATTAAAATATTTTCAAATGCATTTTAATAAAATAATAAATTATTATTTATTTTCTAAAACTTTCAGCTTTATTCCAAGTAAAGTTTGTACTCAATGAACTAAAATATGTTTAATAGTTTTCGTTTTAGTAAACTATAATAACATTAGTAATACAAAATATTTGATTACATTACTATTTAATAAAGTATTACATTTATTTAAGTAAATTATTTATTTTCGAAGACTTCTAAGGGTTCCAAGTTCCCTAAAAATGTATTAAAGATCATTTTTAACAATGAACTATTGACATAAGCATTGTATAAATGTTAGTTTTAGGCAGCAAATCGAGCTTTTGGGGCTCTCCAGGTCTACTGCTCCCTGCATTGAACTTCAAAGGTTGAAAACCTCTCTAAGAGATGTATGCAGTAATATCAATATTGTAGTGTGCATGCACTACTGTAAGTGTCCTCACACGCCCACTTGAGCTTTACAGCACTTCCTGTAATGTCCGCGAGAGATGCGCATGCATTAGAAAAGGACGGGCTTAATCTGGGAATAAAACGAGTTGCGTATTTGTCGTTTTGACTGCGCATCCCGACAGTCAGTTTCCATAACATAGATTTCATAGGACTGCTGTTGTCGGAGGGATGCTGTGAAGAGGAAGTGCTTATTTGACTCCACATTCACAAAGACAAACAGAAGTATGGGTCTGCAGACTGTGTTCCGTGCGGTGACCATGGGGCCCCCGGGCTCAGGGAAGGGGACCGTGTCGAGTCGGATAGCGCAGAGTTTCGGACTGAAGCATCTCTCCAGTGGAGACATGCTGCGGGCCAATATCGAGGCGAAGACAGGTACGACAGCTCCAGCAGTCTTCTCATAGCCTACTATTTCAGGCGTTATTCATAAATAACCGAATACGCATGCTCGAGTCTTTTTCCCGTGCACTGCATACGATTAAAAAAATGACTTTAAAACTTCAGTAACTCGGTTTTATGTTGACAGGATATATAATTACAATTTACTTAGCCGCAGAAGTGAGTCTTAACTTTGGTTGCGGCTCAAAACCTAGTGCGCAGCAGTTTGGAGACATTGCGCTTTTCGCGTTTAGATAGAGGTGATGGGTCAATAGGCTCGCAGACAACGCATTTGTTATTTTATTTATTTATTCATTCATTTTTGAAACAGAAATGCACGAGGAGTTCACGATGAAGCAGTTCCGCTGATGATATATTTCCACGGCCGCCTCGAGTAACGTCCAGCACTTTCTTCTGGTGTTGGTTTTGATGTAAACACCGTCTGGAGAAACCATTAAAGTCGAGCTCAGGCTTTTAAATTGTGCCATTAGTCTTTTTATGTGTAGACATGATATTTATACTTTAATAGGGCTTTTTAACTGTTAAAGGCGATGTCTTTCTCCAGAGAATGTGCCTTGCATACTAAACTTTTACAAAAAATTTACTACAAATTATCTGGCTGCAAATCACACTGAAGCCCAAGCCTGCATTGCATTCAAATTTGCTCCACAATTCAGAGGTTTGCAAGATTGGACTGTATACAGTAGTGCAGGTTCCTTCTCTAATCTGAGCTCTATTTATAATGTTTTTGTAGAAGTAAACACACGTCCCGAATGGATGCCAGATGCTGTGTGTGACAGTATGTTGCATCATCAGTTATCTGGTGTGCAGTTCTACCTACCACAGTCAGGCTAACCCACATACAACATAAACAAATGACCAAGAAATGGCTACATAACCATTTAGCCAGATATAGAGTTGCAGGAGAGAAATATTAAAGGGGTCATATGATGCTATTTAAAAGATCATTATTTTGT